CTGGCGAATATGAGGGCATGGCCAAGAGTTGTGGAGATGACTGTGGGGCTGGCAGGGATTGACCACAGGGGAGGAAGATAGATATAATTAGGTATGAGCCTTAAAGAATTTTTTAAAACTACTTTTAAAATTATAGTGATTTGTGCACTTAATCGATATATAAAGATAAAATCTAGAACTTGGGTGGTACAATTGGTGAAGTGCTTGGCTACTAAGAGGAAGGTTGGTGGTTTGAGTCCACCCAGAGGTTCCTTGGAAGAAAGTCCTGATGATCGATCTACTTCCAAAAGCTCACAGCTGCTGAAAACCCTGTGGAGCATAGTTCTATTCTGGAACACATGGAATCACCATGAGTCACCATCAACTCGATGGCAACTGGTGCACTTAACCAGTATATAAAGGTAAAAACTCAATCAGTATATAAAGACTTTCATTCTTTTTAATAAATAGTATTCCACTGAATGTATATAGTTCAGTTCATTTAATCCATCTCCTTTATGCATTAAAGGAAGCTCTGGTGGCACAGTGGTTAAAGCATTTGGCTGCTAGGCAAAATGTCAGCTGTTCAACTCACCAGTGCTCTGCAGGAGAAAGATAAGACAGTCTGCTTTTGTAAAGATTTACAGCCTTGGAAACCCTATGAAGCAGTTCTACTCTATCCTAAAGGGTTGCTATGCATCAGAATTGACTCAACGGCAGTGGGTTTGGTTTGGGTTTTCATGTATTTATGTTGTTTGCAGTTTTTTGTTACTATAAAGCCATGGCAGCAGAAACCATACTCATGTGTGCACATCTGGTGAGAACATCTGTAAGATAAGTTGTTGGCAATGGAATTACTTGGTCAAAGGACAATTTATTTGTTTTATTTATTGAGATAAGGGCAGATGTCTTTGTAATTATTGCCAACTGGCTCTCCAAAGAAGATGCACAAATTAATAACCCACCAACAAAGGACAAAACCTCTGTTACCTGCCAGTGCTGTTATTATTAATACAATTTAGTCTTTGACAGTTTGATAGGTGAAAACTGCTTTCTATCACTATTCTTATTACATTTGTTTAATTTGATGAGGTTGAGCTCTTTTTCATATTTACCACTTGATTTTCTTTTCTTGTATGAATGACCTGTTAACAAGAAGTAATCTAGTGGGTCAATCTGCTATGGTTCAAATCCTGGCTTTTCCACATACTGGATGTGTGACCTTGGACAATTTATTTAAATTTGTTTTGCCTCAGTTTCCTCTCTTAAAATGAGGCAAAAACACACCTGCATTGTAGAGTTACTGTGAGAACTAAATGGGCTAATGGATGCAAAATCCTTGGGACAGTGTCAGATACATTCATGGTGAGTATTATGGAGATGACACAGGACCAGACAACCTTTCTGCTATGCAAAAAGTCAGTACGAGCTGGAGCCAATTCCATAGCAACTAATAACAACAAACAATAACTCATGTTATTCATATCTATTGTCCACTTTTCTTTTGGGTTGTTTGTCTTTTTCCTATTAATTTGTGTATTCAGGAAATTAGCCTATGGCTGTTTTATGTGTTTCTTCCTTGTACTTTGTCATTTGACTTTTTTTTTTTTTTGGTATTACATTCTACACAGAAATGTTAAATTGTTTTTTATCATGACTACCAGTCTTTGCATTCCAAGATAATGAAAAAAATTTTTTTTCCTTGAAAAGAATCAGAGGATACGTTTTATATGGGATAGACAAAGAGTGATGGTTCTGCAAATGCAAGACCAGAAACCAAACCAGTTGCCATTGAATCAATTCCAACTCACTGCAGTCTCATGTGTGCACAGTAGAACTGCTCCATAGGGTTTCCAAAGCTGTGACCTTTTAGAAGCAGATCACCGGGCTGTCTTCCAAGGTTCCTCTGGGTGGGTTTGAACTGCCAACTTTTTGGCTAGTACTCAAGTGCTTAACTGATTTCACTACCCAGGGACTCCTTTCTTCAAGTGTGGGAAGGAGCGAAAAGAATGTCTCCTTCTGGGAGAGGAGAAGCAAGCTCCCTCTGCCAGCGCTGCAGGGGTCAAGATGTCTGGGGCAGGTTTCATTGAAGCCTGGAAGGGCTGAGGGACTGGGCTGCCTGTCTGTTGAGAGCTGGGTTCCAGAAGTCACAAGGGAGTGGAAGGACAAGTGAGTATGGGCTTGGCAGGATGTCACAGAATGTTACGGAGATGGGAAATAGCCTTTAGGGGTAGACAAGGGACGACTTGGGGGAATTTGTGTCTTCCTGGAATCCCATAAGGTGGTCTTCAGGAGGCTGATGAAGGCATGGGCTAGGGGAGGGAGCCGAGTTTGGATGAACCATTAGATCGCGCACTCTTGTGGGGCAGGGATTTGATCCTCAGGTCTCAGGAACCTCTCCAGTGGGTGTTTATGTGCACTGCCAGCACTGAGTGGGCTCCCAGTGTGGGCCTGTGAATGTAGATAGGAAGAGACTGGAGAGGGCTGGAGCTGCCAGGAATGCTTTAGGGAGAGGATGGCAAGGCTGAGGGTAGACAGTGGGCAAGTGCTGTTGCTCATGGGGAGGCTTCATAGACTCTTTCTTTCTCTGCAGTCTTTCTCTCAGCTCCCTCTACAAACCCTGTGCCCTTCCAGGTGTTAGTAAGTGGAAGGGCCACAAAAGTGGCCCAGGGAGGAGCATGTCCAGGGTCACAAGGCAGGTCACTGATAGTGCCCTGCCAAAGATTGCTCAGGCCAGGTTCTAGGGGAGTAGAGCAAGGGGAAGAATTCCTGGCATGGGTGGGGTATAGCCTCCTCCAGAGTACAGATTCTGTGGGAGGGCTGAAGGTAGGACAGGGTGTGAGGGGTAAGACAGAGAGGGTGCACTCTTCTGTGTATTCATGTAAATTGAAAAATTGGTCTCCTTTGCCCACTTGGAGGCTGGGGGCGGGGGTGTGGGTAGATGGAGCAGGAACTCCAGGACTGCAAATATCACAGGACCGGGAAATCTGTATGCTTTCAAGGTATAACTAAGAATTAGAGATTAAATCTTTCCCCCTCAACTTTCTTTCTCACCGTGCTCCCCCCACCCCCTATACACAGAAGACTCTACTGTCACCTTGGTCATCCTTCTGCCTCTGGGCTGAGCTACCCCCAAACTGATGGTGGGTGTGGAGAAGGCCTTCTGCAAGATCACTGTGAAGGGGCTGCCACAGGTTTAGCCTTGCCCAAAGTAATTTCTTATCTAGCTATAATGGCAAACCAGAAAAAGCATTCCATCCCCACCCTTCTCCACCCAGGACTCCCCCAAGGGTTTGCTCTGAGGTGACAATCTGGCCAGCTCATTGGGATGGGGCTACTGGTGGGCTAGAGAGGAAGGCTTGCCAAAGGTCTTTTTCAAAGGTTCCACCAGCCACTCCTTGGAAGGAAGATGGGGCAATCTAATTCCATAGTGATACTGCCTTGGAAACCCAAGGAGGGGTCACTATGAGTCTGTCCACTATGAGTTGGTCCACGACTCAACAGCACATAACAAAAACACAATTCTGCTGCCCAGGCACAGGGTCTGACAATTCAGGCAATTCAGTGGATGGGTGTGGCCTGTGTAGCTCGAGGCTACTAGAGAGCAAGGCCAGCACTCAGTTAACAGTGACTCTGTCCATTGTGTTCTGTTCCAGCACAGTGTTTACCCCCCTCTTGGACTGGGTTTGAAACTGCTGGGAATTGTTTGGTGGTGGCTTCAGGTGAGGGAGGTCCTATAGATGAGTAAATTTTGCTAGCAGAGCTAAAAAAACAAACAAACAAAAAAAAAAACCAAAACCCACTGCAGTAGAGTCGGACCCCTCTTTGGGTTTCTGAGGTGGTGTCACTACAGAAGTAGATTGCCCAATCTTCCTTCTGAGGAATGGTTGGTGGGTTTGAATTGCAGCCTTTTTGTTAGCAGTCAACCTTAGGGACTACGCTACCCTTAAATAGAAAAATGGCGGGGGTAAAGGGATGGGGAGGAGTGTCTGAGTGCAAATACAAGCATATGCGGCAAGCAGTCTGTGATCAGCTACTAATTTAGAGACTGGTGGTTTGAACCCACTCAGCAGTGTTGAGGCAGAAAGGCTTGGTGATTTGCTCCATAAAGATTACAGCCAAGAAAATCTTCTGAGGCAATTCTACATTGTAAACACACAGGGTCACCATGAATCAGAATCAAATAGAAGGCAACTGGGTGGCCCGTAGATATGCATACAAATGTGTGCAATTTTGTATCCACAAACACTCCTCCCAGGTCCATACAGACTCCTACTCAATTAACATGAACACACATCTGTCTGTGCAAAGCCCAATGGCCCACAAGTATGTACATACAAAGGTGTCACAAATACACAAAGATGTCCCCTTCCTCTATTGGGCCAAATACAGTAAGTGGGCAGGGATGTGAGGAAGGGGGAGCACAGGCCCAGGGTAGCCATTCCCACTGGCTCCAGATGCCTATTAGAGTGGCCAGAAGTGAGGTCATGCCCTCAAGGTGGAATGAGGTGAAGGCATGTGGCCATGGAGACCAGTTCAAGCAGCCTCCTGCCAAGGGCTGGCACATCCTGGGGTCAGGTAATTCACAAACTGAGCTGATCTCTGGAGATGGGGCTGGATTTTTGGAGGGATGGTGGGTGAGTTGGGCCTAGTGGGTGATGCCTTTTTGGCTTTCAGTTGCCTGGGGGATTTGGGCACTGACTCTCTGGATTAGAACTCCGTCCCCCCCCCCCCCTCCACTTCCATCTCTTACCCCCTGGTCTCTCTGCTCTGGCCTCAGGAATTTGGACGTTTTCATTCCTTCCTCAAGCCTCCTTCAGGTAGCCTTCCCTGACTGAGCTCAGACCTCGCTCCCCCAGCATCTGGAGGCCTACGGGTCTACTTCAGCCGCACCCCTTCCTCCAGGCTCCAGACCTTCTCCTGCTTGGACTGAAAGTCTGGGCTCCGGAGGGGTGGGCGGTGCCCGTGACCGAAGAGCCGCCCGGGAGGGATCTGTTGGGCAGCGAAATGTGGCCCACGGCCAGCCCCGCCCCTACCTGTGTAAGCTGATCCTCAAGGCCCAGCGGATAAAAGGGGCCGAGTGTCCCGGAGGTCAAAGAGTTGACTCTGCTCCTCGCCTTCTGCTCTGTCGAGCCCGGTGCAGCCGCTATGTCCACTCACTTCAGGTCCCAGGTCTTTAGCTCGCGTTCCGCGGCCTTCCCTGGTCGCGGCACACAGGTGCGCCTGAGCTCGGCGCGCCCCGGGGGCTTCGGCAGCAGCAGCCTCTATGGTCTGAGCGCCTCACGGCCGCGCGTAACCGTGCGCTCCGCCTATGGGGGCCCAGTGGGGGCCGGCATCCGAGAGGTCACTATCAATCAGAGCCTGCTGACCCCGCTGAGTATGGACATCGACCCCTCCATTCAGCAGGTGCGCCAGAAAGAGCGCGAGCAGATCAAGACCCTAAATGACAAGTTCGCTTCCTTCATCGACAAGGTAAGCCCCACAGGGACTCTGCCTCGAGCCACGCACCAGGCCACACCAACCATCCTAACCCCGCACGCACGCTGGCTAGGTGCTGGCTGACCTGCCCTCATTCCCTCTTTCTGCCAGTATCGTGATGCTATCTTATGCCTTATTCCGGTCCCACTAGTTCTGAGCTATTTTGCCCTCCTCAGGCTCCAAACCTCTTCCTCCAGCAAGCTGCCCCAATTGCCTCTTCCTTTCCTCTCTGTGAAGGAACCCTAGTAGTGCAGTGGTTAAAGCATTTGGCTGCTAACCAGAAAGTTGGTGGTTTGAGCCTACCAGCTGCCCCCTAGAGAAAGATGAGGCAGTCCTCTTCTGTAGATTTATAGCCTTGGAAACTCTATGGGGTAGATCTACTCTGTCTTATAGGGTCACTATAAGTCTGAATGGATTCATGGTAGTAGGTTTTCCTCTCAGAGAGGAGCCCTGGTAGTGCAGTGGGTAAGTGCTCAACTGCTAACCAAAAGGAAACCGCAAGCTTTTCTGGGAGAAAGATGTAGCCTTCTGCTTGCATAAAGATTCACAGCCTTAGAAACCTTATGGGGGCATTCCTATGGGGTTGCTAGGGATTTGGTTTTCCTCCTAAAATGTGAGGATGACATCTGTGATCCCCTGGGGTTCTTGGGACCAGTTTTGCCACCAATTTCAGTCTGGGAGCTCCCGAGGATAGGACAGCTAGTTCCTTTTCTGGGCCCTTTCCCCTGAGAGGCTTCTGTGTGGAATGAGGGATGGGCTGGGGGAATGATATCCCTTCTTAGCTAATGAGACCCTGGCCACCCTCTGATGCAACCCATTCAGAAGTAGATGACGGAAATAAAGGGCTAGAGGGAGGAGGCTTCTGGTCTTCCCCACCCCACCTGCCTGGCCCTAGAGCCTTCCTTTGGTGGTAGGAGGTGAGGTTACACCTGTTTTTGGAGATAGCCCAGCTGGGAGCAGAGAGGGGGCACTGAGGGACCCTGGAGAGGGGCTGTTTGGGAGATGCTTTTCCTGGCTGTTTGCTGCTGCCAACATTGGCCCCACCCATGGGACAGATGACTGGTGAGTCTGGGAGGGATGGGGACAACGTGAAACAAAGCTGGACTCAGGAACTAAGGCCTGGCCAAGTTGGGTTCCTCTGACCAGGTCCCCCTCCCACTGTCTTAGATCAAACTTTGCCTCTTCTGATTTTGTGTACCTTTTCCTTGACCCTTTCCCCTCCCCTACCCACACCCCCATCTTAGATGTCCTCCTCTTCACCACTCAGACTGTACACATCCTCCAAGGTTCCCTGAAGCTCAGGGTCACCCAGGCCCAGGCTCCCCCTGCTACTGAGCTGCATTGTCTTACTTCTGCAGTCCCTAGTCCTGGGCTTTCAGGGCACTTTTCTTGCCTCCTGCTCCCAGCCACACTGGGTGCTTCTTAGGGCTTTTCAGGGCCCCAGAACTGGCAGAGAGCTGGCCACATAGTGAGTGCTCATTTTACATTTTACATAAAGCCCTGTTCGGAGGCCTCAATGGAGGAAAGACATAGGAGCCAGACGACACAGAAGAAGAGCTGGGCTCCCAACCTGATGGGAGAGGTGCCTTGTCAGCCCAGACCAAGAGACATGAGCAGGGCAGCCCTTAGAGAGGAAGGTAGAGAAGGTCACCATAACCATGGAGAGTGAAGAAGGGGGGAGACTCTCAAGCACATTTTTGAGAGCCAAGCACTGGGGATACACTGAGAACGAGACAGGACTGCCCCTGGGTCACGATTCAGGACACCTGAGGAAGAAGAGCGTCAAGGGCTGAGAACTGGGTAGCTAGAGACCTTCCTCAACTCTGCTGTAGGGAGCACCATTGGGCCCCTCATGAGTTCCCACTCAATTCCCTCTTGCAGGTGCGGTTTTTGGAGCAGCAGAACAAGATGCTGGAAACCAAGTGGGCACTGCTGCAAGAGCAGAAATCCACCAAGAGCAGCCACCTCCCGGGCTGCTTCGAGGCCCAGATAGCTGCCCTTCAGAGGCAGCTTGAGGTGCTACAGGCAGATGGGGGTCGCTTGGAGTTGGAGCTGAGGAACACACAGGATGTTGTGGAAGACTTCAAGAATAAGTAATGCCCCCCCCCCATGTGACCTGCAGGGCAGGGGTCTATGCCTCTGGACCATTGTACCCCTCCTTAGCTGACCCTTCTGCAAATCTCCTCTGGGTCAGGGGTCAGAGGCTAGCTGCTTAGTACAGTAACTGCCTGAAGGAAAACTCTTTACTAACACATTCCCTGGTTTCTCCTCTCACTTCCTTTTCCTTGAGGGTTGCTTCCAAATCATTCTGGTCTTTTTTCCTCACTTTTTCCCAGTGAACTATCTCAGACTTTCACTATTCCCATTGGGTATATGAGCAAGACCTCAAGAGAGGGTAGGTCAGGAAGTATGCTATGATGGGTGTGCTTCAGAACTGGCATAACCTTTGTAGATAATTCTAGAACAAGTCCGTAGTATTCAGGTGAGGAATTAGAGAGGAGAGAAGTTCAGGAACTTGATGGAGAACACACAGCAAGTCAGAAGAAGAGCTGGGCTTGAATTTTGGGCTCCTAACTCCCAGGAGGAGACATGGAGCAGACTTGGAAGGAGAGAAGCAAAGAGGTCTTTGTGAGCCATGGGAGGGGTTGCAGAGGCTGAGCCTGTGGGTCAGGGCAGGAATCAGAAAGGAGAATGTGAGGAGGGGAAGGGAGTGGAGGGGCTGGAAGGTTGGAGTTTTCAGAACAGCTTTTGAGGTGCCTGCTGAGGTCTTTATTCATTGAACAGAAACCAAAGCCTGAGGTTAGGGCCCGGCCCCACCCTGGCACACCATGCTCTGCCTGAGGGTACATGACTGAGTGAGAGCACGTATATCAGGTCACACTGGAGGAGAGCAAACAAGGCCAATGCTCGCAGGTCCCCCTCCTCCCAACTCCCCTAGAGCAAAAGTCAATAGGATTAATCCCACAGCAGGTGGAACCAGACAGGTGCAAGGAAGGAAGGGCCTGGGGCAACCAGCAACCTCTGTTGCCAGATACCATACATATGTGCATGGATGAGTACACACACACACACACACACACACACATTTCCCCCACCCCAAAGCCCTCAGAGGAGCTGGAAAGGGGTGCAGGGAGATCTGTGTGCAGTTGTTCAGTGAATCTAACATTGAACTCTCTGGGCCTGGAAACACATTGCCTATGCAGGGGTGGGCGGACAGCCTGGCAGATGTTTCCATTCCATTCTATAGAACCTGAAGGAGTGTGGCATCAGGGGTGTGGGCATCATTCACCTCAAGTCTGGGTCCTGGAGGGGCCCTGCCTGTCTGGGCACCCTGCTCCCCACCATAGCTGGCTCAGGCTGCTCCTGCTGCTTCCCAGAAGCTCTTGGACACTGCTGAGGCTTTGCTTCTGACATGTTTTTTTTTTTTTTTGAATCTTCAAATAAGCACTGGATTTGTTCGATGCCCTCTCTTCCTCTGCACCCTGTTTTGCTGAGTTTTCCTGTGGGCCAGTGGCTGGATGTGTGGGGGAAGAGGGATGAGGGGCTGTGGGAACAGGGGTGGGGGATAGGGCATCTATCTGGGACCTTCTCGTTCCTGGACTTCCTGATTGTCCAAGGTTCTTCTCCTTCAGACCTCTCATTGACCCCTCAGCAGTGCTGTGTGGAGGTTAAAGCATAGCTCTGGAGTCAGGCTGCTAGGGCTCAAGTCTGGGCTTTAGCACTTAGCAGCTTAGTGATGAGCAGATTGCCCTGTCTCCCTGCTTTGGTTCCCTTCTTTGATAATTACAGTACCATCATAGGATTAATTGCTGTGAGCATTAAATGACTTGATGCCTGGGAAGATATAAGAGTGCAGGCCCCATAGGAAGCAGCCCCTAAGCATGGCTACTTTACCTTGCTGTCCTTCCCTCAGTGTATGTAGCCTTTGTCCTCTGATTCGCACATGGTCCTTGCCATCCTCCCCACTTTACCCTATGCCAAAGACTCAAAGCTCTAGGAACAGCCTATGGAAAAGTCAGGAAATTGGGTTTCATAGCCTGACACCTGTTTTTTCAGGTGTGTCATTAAAAGGGATGAAGGAGATGCAAGGCAGGTTTTCACTCTGGATGTCAGGGGGCACGGAGGTAAACCTGCACCAACACCATGCCCCCTCCTCTACTGCAGGTATGAAGATGAAATCAACCGTCGCATGGCTGCTGAGAATGAGTTTGTGGTGCTGAAGAAGGTGAGATCCCAAGACAAGCTGGGGCTGAAAACACAAAGGACAGTGGCCATACGGCCCTCTCACTTAAACAGCAGTGGGGACCTGTGGCCAAGTCTGGCCTGGGCTCTGCAAGAGGGGAGTGATGGGCATGGAGGGGATGGAGTCTGGAAACTAGGCCCTCACTGCACAGCCTGTCCTGTGTGTGTGTATGTGTGTGTGTATGTGTATGTGTCTAGTGAGTGACTACACTTGATTTTGGGCCCCTAAGGGGTAGGACTAGGAGCTCTGGTAGCATAGTGCCTAAGGCACTTGACTGCTAACCAGAAGGCTGGCGGTTCAAACCCACCAGCCACTCCTCGGAAGGAAGGTTGGGCATTCCTACTTCCGTAGTGATACTGCCTCGGAAACCCAAGGAGGGGTCGCTATGAGTCGGGGCCGACTCGATGGCAAATAACAACAACAACAACAAGGGGTAGGACTAAGATGAAAGGAGGAAAATTTCAAGCCCAAATAAGGAAGTACTCTCTCTCGGTCCGAACATTCCATTATAGACAAGGTGGCACAAAGGCCTGAAATATTTGCTGAATGAGTGGAATGGGCTACTTCAAGGCAGAGTGAGCTCCTCATCACTGGAAGATCTTAGTGTTTTAGAGGGACTTGTAGTTCAAGTGAGCAGCTTGGTGATCCAGATCCATCCACAGAAATGCAATGTGTCCTGAGATGCAAGGTCCTTAGGGACTCAATCAATAAGTGACATTGGGCCCTACCCTCAAGGAGATTAACCATTGGAAAATACAGCAAGGAGGGGCCCCAGACATCATCTCGACCTGTGGAGTTAAAGTGTGACCTGGGGCCCACCTGTATCAGAATCACTCATGCTGCTAGTTGAACGTTTAGGTTTGGAATTTGTCATCTCTAGGAGTGATATCCTGAACCACAAATAATTTTGTGCTCACCCATTTTCCTGACAAGAAGTCAAGGCTCACAGAGTTAAAGTGACTTAAGTTCACACAGCTAGTTAGGGGGTTTGGAGTATGTCCAGATCATCAAAAATTTTAGCAACTAGTCAGTGCTAGGTCTGGGTCTTCAGGCTGCCCGGACTACCCATGTTGAGAAGGTACCTTTGTACCGGGGATGCACAGAGATGAAGCCTATCATAGAGTGTGGAGAGCCCAGTGAGGGAGGCTTCTAGCTGTGGTCGTGTCAGGCAGCCTGGGGAAACTGGGTGTGATAGGCAATGGTTTTGGGCCTTCTGGGTTGGGCAGTGCTGGCTTCTTCCCACCCTACTAAATGTTCTGTGTCTTGAGGACATGGTTTCCCTCTGCCCCTTCTCTCCCTCCTGCCACCCCAGGATGTGGATGCTGCCTACATGAACAAAGTAGAGATGGAGGCCAAGCTGGATGCCCTGAATGATGAGATCAACTTCCTTAAGACCATCCATGAGACGGTGAGGACATCCAGGGTGTAAGACATGTCCTGTCCCAACCAGAGAACCATCTGGTCCAGCCTCCTGCCTCTGGGCCAGTCTCTCTCTCTCTGTCTCTCTATGTTTGGGGTGACATTTATCCTGCTCTTCCCTGAGTAGTACAAACAGTTGGAATCGACTTCTTAACAACTGGTTAGTTATCTGGTTGTTTCTGGATTCAGGAATCCATAATGGGCTAGAGTGTCAGGAGCTTGGGTGTAGTGGAGCAGGGTGGAGTGAGTCAGGATTGGCCTTTCAGAGACAAGGGATAACCAAAGCAATATTTGTCTGGAAAGGGAATTGGGAGTGGCTGAAAGCAACCAGAGGTGGCTGAAGGATTCCAAGCTGTGTAACAGGGTTCAAAAGTGGGTTGGGTGGAGTGGGCAGGGAGGAGCAAATCAAGAGACAATGGAGTGACTGAGAGCGTGCACCAGGGGGGACTGGGCTGGTGGCCGCCCACCAGCTGGGGCATTCTCTCTGTCCTCCTCTCCTATCCTATTATCTTCCTCCCACTCTTACCCAGCCCTGGGCTTCCAGTTCCTTTACCCTCTTGGAGATTTAAAAAACTCTTTCTCCTCAGTGTGAGTCTCTGACTTTAGGCAAAAGATAGGGTGGCAGGACCTGGTGGGATGTAATTGGTATACAAGGCTAATTACAGACCAGTTCTAATCTCATTTCCCCTCAGTCTAATCTTTTGTCTGAACCTATAGCCTCCATCAGCCCCTCAGAATGAATTTCCACACCTGTGGTCATATCAAGGGCTGCACTTATTTAGGTGCTGCCAGTCTTAGCTCAGGGTCTTTGGATGTCTGTCATAGATTATATATAAATAGGCTTATTATATAGCATGTCATATATATATACATGTATATAATTATTTTCTTTTCCTTGTGGAAGTAATACATAATCATTTCAAAAAATCCAAAAAATTAATTAAAGCATAAAATTGAAAACATCACCTGTATCCAATGTTAATATTTTGGTATATACCTTCCAGACATTTTCTGTGCATATATACACTTACAGATACAGAAATAAATATATTTGTATAGGTACATATATATGTGTGTAAAAACAAAAAAAACAAACTCACTGCTGTTGAGTCGATTCCAATTCATAGTGATCCCTCCTTGGGTTTCTGAGGCTGTATCTCTTTGGAAGTAGATTGTCCAGTCTTCCTTCTGAGGAGTGGCTGGTGGGTTAGAACCGCCAGCCTTCTGGTTAGCAGTCAAATGGCTTAGGCACTACACCTCCGGAGCTCCCCATATATGTGTGTATATATATGTGCTTATATGTGTGTGTGTGTGTATGTGTGTGGGTATGTATATGTATATACACACACACACACATATACACGTATATATATATGTATTTACATACATACATATATATATGTATGTAAATACATATATATATATATGTCTATATATTACTTTTTCCTTCTAAATTTGATTTATTTTGTTGTTGAGAGAAATATATATTTTTAAATAAAAATAGGATCTTACTTCTTTGTGTGACAGTATACCAAGGCCATTATACCAAGGCCATGGGAGCTCTGGTGGCATAGTGCCTAAGGCACTTGACTGCTAACCAGAGGTTGGTGGTTCAAACCCACCAGCCACTCCTCAGAAGGAAGATTGGGTGATCTTCTTCCGTAGTGATACTGCCTCGGAAACCCAAGGAGGGGTCGCTATGAGTTGGAGACAACTCGATGGCACATAACAACAACATAAGAAGGCTGTATTTCTTTTATAGTAAATATAGCCATATCATCATTTTTCGAGGCTGTAGAGTTTCCCATTATAGGATGGAATATAATTTATTTACCATCCCCACTGACCCCTTCACAACAGAGGGCATGCCCTGTAGCATCTCACGGCTGGTAGCCATTGCTGGTCACCATGTTCTGTCATTTTCTTTATCTCCTTGATTCCTACCAGACTCATGCCCACTCCAGTGTCTCCTTCTTCTCTCTTCTTCCCTCTTGTGTGGGGGACCCCAGAGTGGGAGTGGAAACCAGAATGGGTCATACCTCACATCCTAACGTTCTGTCTGATTCCTACAGGAATTGACGGAGCTGCAGGCCCAGATCTCAGACACGTCTGTGGTGCTGTCCATGGACAACAACCGCTCCCTGGACCTGGACAGCATCATCGCCGAGGTCAAGGCCCAGTATGAGGAGATGGCCAACCGTAGCCGGGCTGAGGCCGAGGCTCAGTACCAGACTAAGGTGTGTGACCATTGGATGCACCTCTCTCCCCCTGGCAGGGCCCTCAGTGTCCGCACCTTACCCTCACCTTGTCTGAAACCCTTTAGGGCCTCGGGTCCCCTGTTCTGGCAGGCATCAGTGGCTAAATCTCTTGTGCTTTCTGGGAAGAAGAAGATGAGAAGACCAGGTCCCTGCCCTAACGGAAGGACAGGCCAGAGGAAGTAGACATGGATTGATAATTATTATAGCTAAACTTTTTCAAGTACTTACAAAGCTAGGCAAGGTCTCCAATATTTTACCTGCATGAACACATTTAATCCACAGAATAGTCCTGTTAGATAAGTACTATTATTACCACCTCAGAAACCCAAGGAGGGGTTGGTACGAGTAGAATCTGACTTGACAGCAGTGAGTTTGTTTTTTTGATTACAGATAAAGAAACTGAGTCAAGAGAGGCTAAGTAATTTGCCTAACTCCACACAGCTAGTAGATAGAAGAGGGGAGACTAGATGCTTGATCCTTGGGCTCCACAACTGGGAGGTTTAATCATCACATATATATTGTGAAGGCAGGACTGCTGACTGTGCAAGTGCTGAGGGAATGGGCAGGGGGCACAGGAGTAAACCCAGGAAGGGTACGTGGAGGAGAGGAGCCTGAGGCAGGGTTAAAAGCAGCATAGAGGGAAGTCTATGTAGAGAGGCCAGGGAGACATCCATGTGCACAGGTGAGAACACAGGTTTGCCAACAAGGAGACCTGGGCTTAGGGCCTAGTTCTACCTTGATTTGCTGTGTGACCTTGGGACATGGCCTTCTCTTTACTGGACTTCACTCTCTTTATGTATGAAATGGGTAGTGCTCGTGAGGATCTCAGACTTCCAGTGGTTCTCCAGGATGGGAGTGGGAAGAGCCCAAGGATCAATGGAGATGGGCCCTGGGAAGCCTTCTCTGCCCTCCCTGTCCTGGATGGGAGGATACTGATCTTCCCTTCCACAGTTTTGGCTTCTTGGAGTTGGGTGAAAATTGCTGAGAGTCTGAAGGTCTTTCCCTAGAAATGTATGCCAAGAGGGCTTGTCTCTCAGAACAAGGCCTTCCTTGGATGGGCAGAGGGACCTGTAACCATTGCCTACCCCTGCTTCTCTGCATGGCCTCTCCAGTTCGAGACCCTCCAGGCTCAGGCCGGAAAGCATGGGGATGACCTCCGGAACACCCGGAATGAGATTGCGGAGATGAACCGGGCCATCCAGAGGCTACAGGCTGAGATTGACAACATCAAGAACCAGGTGGGGATGTGCCCTTACCCTTCCTCCTCACTCTCTTTTGGGATCTGTCCAGGGCAGCCAGCTGAGGCCAAGCTCAGGAATGAGGAACAGAAGGTTGGGGCTGGAGGGGCCTTGGCTGGTGCAGCTTGAATGTCTCAGGCTCACTTGTAGGATCTTGACAAGAAGGGAGGACTGTGTCCTGTGGTATGAGCAGAATGTTCCCTAGCCAGCCCTTTGTCCCATCTTGGGAGGAGGGAAGTCCTAGCTGGGCTGAGAGGCTATGAGGGAGCCTCTGGCTGGCTGGTCAGAGAAGAACCACCATACTTAACAAGTCAGTGCTGAGCACTCTTCTTACATGTAGCTCTGGGTACAAGATGCCATACCTGGGAGCTGACAACGTTGGGGTAGAGGGGAAGACAGAAGCCAACAGAAAATCCTTACCATGGCTTGCAGGCCTCTCCCCACCTCCCAGCCTGACTTTCCACAAAACCTCTGACTCACAGTGCTCTGGCCACACAGACCTGCTTCCTTCCTGTGTCTTGCATTTGCCAAACATGTTCATGCTTTAGGGCCTTTTGCACTTTGTGTCCTTTTCATTTCTCCTGGAATGTGGTTCTCCCAGCTCTTAATGTGGCTGTCCCTTCCTCTTCTCTGGGTGTAGGAGAAAAGACCTCTTCTCAAATATGGCTTCCTTAACCACCCAACCACTAGCTCAGCATCTTGTCTGAGGTTCTTTGAAGCACCTGTTACTGTGTGAGCATATCTATGTTATGAATGCAATTATTGATGCCCTGAGAGCAGAAACCCTGTCTGGCTGGCTCACTGTTCCTCTCTTCCAGTATCTGCCACACATTTGAGGCACAGGTCCTGGATGAGAACAACTCAAAAGCTGTGCTTTGCTGGATGTTGGAGTTAACATTGGTGTTGCTAGGGAAGGGCCCTCCAAGGCCTGGCTAAAGCATGGGTGTGGACAGGACAGCTAACCTGAGCAGGTGTCTGAGCAGGTGGCATGTGTGCAGCTTCACAAAGCTAGGGGGATGGATGTGGGGTGATTTTCAGAGCCATTCTTCCCTGAGAGCCCTGAAGACCTGTTTACAGGAGGATGGAGGCTGCCTCCTGGCACAGATGCAGGACCATGAGTCATCCTGTGAAGCGGCCCAGCCTCCAGGCCTTAAAGGGAGGACTGAATAGTGAATGACAGTTTCCCAAACCCTATGCACCAACTGCATCTGGTTCTCCTCTCTCACAGTGGTGCAGAGCCGGGATGCAGAATCAGGGTGTCCACTCCTGACCAAACAGGGACCGGGCCCTCAGGTGGGGCTGGAAGGGGCATTGAGAGACAGTGGGAATGGCCGTGCCCCAGGGGCTTTGGGAAGTGGTAGAGACACCATTACGATGGGGCACAAGGAGCAGAGAGGCATCTGAGGGCCCTGGGGAGGGGCAGGGAGGACTGGGCAGAGCACATTCTGTGAGCAGAGGATGTGAGCTGCAGAGAAGGGAGGAAGAGAAGCAGTGGGCTAGGGGATGCATGTGGCAGCCCTTGGAGCCAAATAAGATGAGGCTCCTGACTATGAGGTTCTTTAGTGGGGGGTGAGCACAAAACAGAGGAAATGCTAAGACTCAGTGCAAGTGCAGGTGCAGGTTTATCTGGAATCACAACACCTCTGCCCAAATGCAGGGGGCTGTTGGTCATGCACTTTTGGGGCTGGAGGCTCCATGCAGGGTCTCTCTGCTCCAAGCCTTCCTGTTCTGGGTCAGTTCCAAACTGGTTTCCGTTTTGAAGGTGGTTTCTGGGTCTTGTCAGCTGTTTGACATTGAGGACTAAAGTAGGACTCCGTGGCTTTTGGAGCTCCTCCAGCAGGGGCTGGAGGTGGGGGGTAGGCATTTGTAAACCCAAAGCAAATTCACTGCCATCTAGTCTATTCTCACTCACAGTGACCCCATAGAGTTTCCAAGGCTGTAAATCTTTACACAAGCAGACTGCCTCATCTTTCTCCTGAGGAGCGGCTGGTGGGCCCGATGCCTTAACCACAGCACCACCAGAGCTCCAAATAAATAGCATTTATTAAGCACTTACTGTGTGGCGGGAGCTCTGGTGTCACAGTGCCTAAGGCATTTGACTGCTAACCAGAAGGCTGGTGGGGTCAAATTCACCAGCCACTCCTCAGAAGGAAGACTGGGCAATCTACTTCCGTAGAGATACCACCTCGGAAACCCAAGGAGGGGTGGCTGTGAGTCAGAACTGATTCGAAGGCAGTGAGTTTACTGTGTGGTAAGCACTGTGCCAAGGATTTCATTGTATATGATCTCATTTAATCTTTGAAATATCCCTATGAGGCAGACATTCTCATTATTACTATCTTATAAGAGAGGAGATTTTTGGCTCTGAAGGATGACTCATCTGAGGTCACATAGCTAGTAAATGGCTGAGCCAGAATTGGAACCCATTGGGCATCAAAACCCATGTTTTTAATCCTTGAGATTCTCTGGTGCTTGGGGAAGTAGGCTGGTGCCAGTGAGACTACCTTGAGCAGGTTACCCAGGTACTTCCTGCAGGATGGGAAGCAGGAAGGCACTGGCTGGTGAGCCCTGTCCCCCAGCTCACAGCTCCACTACTGCCTACAGCGTGCCAAGTTGGAGGCCGCCATCGCTGAGGCTGAGGGGAATGGGGAAATGGCGCTCAAGGATGCACGCTCCAAGCAGGAAGAGTTGGAGGCCGCCCTGCAGCGAGCCAAGCAGGACATGGCGCGGCAGCTGCGTGAGTACCAGGAGCTCATGAATGTCAAGCTGGCCCTGGACATCGAGATCGCCACCTACCGCAAGCTGCTGGAGGGCGAGGAGAGCCGGTGAGGACAGAGAAGCCGGAATAGGGCTCCTGGGGCTCAGTGGAGGCTGGGGCTGGACGTTCACCCATCAATAGATGTTTCCTGTATATTCCTCCTTCTGAAGGGCATTGGGAGTGGGAGGTGCAGGAGGGTAGAGCTGATGTTTACTTCTTCGCCTTCAATGAGAAGACTTTCTAGAAGGAAAGACCATAAGGTGTAAAACTTGGTGGGTAAGTTGAAGTATTAATAGTCCATTATTGTGTGTGGCCATTAGCAGGGTCTTCTTACTTGATCCTGAGAACACATTCAGGTAGGGAGATCAGGTATTTTTGATTCTCCAGTAAACAGAGGGGAGAACTGTGGTTCAGGTTATTAATTAAGAGTGCAGTCAAGGTCTGCTGATTCCTGGTCCAAGCATCTTCAGTGATACCAGGGTGCTTCTTACTATATATAAGTGCTAAATCTTGTGTTAATGACTGAAGGTGTGGAGGAGGTTAATTTCTACCTGACCCAGGGATGTTTGCATACTTACCTGAAGCCAGAGAGGAGAGTAGGGTAAGTTAGTCTTATTAGGGAACTCTTCACTAAAGACATGGGATGTACTTTGGGTCTTTATTCTCACATTGGTGGACTGGGTGATTCATTCAGTCAACAGACCAGGCTTTCTATTTACTCTTTGGGGGAAGGTTAGGATTGGGAGAGGGTGAGAGGGAACAGCGTGGGCAAAGGCTTGGAAGTAGGACTGTCACGTCTTGGCTTGTAGGAACTCAACATGGAGATAAATAACACAGAAGATATGTTTCTTCCCTCAGGGTGTTTGCAGAGTAGTTGAGAAAAAACCTCTGCACAGGAAGCGCTCAGAGAGCAGTAATTTGCATTTGTAAAATGCCAAGTGTACAAAGAACATTTCATTTTCTGTATCATTCCTGAGGGGTGGATGAGAGAGGATGGAGGATGGGTGGAGTGGAGGGAAAGGAACTAGAGAAAGAGGGAGCCTGGGGGCAGAATACGTGGCTGCTGGGAGGAAGGAGAGAAGAACCCGGGCAGCATGTGGAGCCCATGGCAGCAGGATGGGTGTGGGGAATGAGAGGTGGGAAGGGAAGGGTCTCTGCCACTGCAGCCGAGTTTGGTGCAGAGCAGTCTCAGAGCCCACCTAGCAGTACCAGAGTCTAGATCCCTGACAGGGGGCTGTGTGCCTGGGTTCTTGGGCAAAGGGATGATCTGGATCCCAGATCCCTGGGAGGGGAGTGCCTTTGGGTTAAGTCTGTGTGTGATGGGGGCATCCATGTGCCAGGGTCCCTGCTGTGGGGTCTGTGTGGGAGTATGTGGGGTGTTTTTGTGTCAGGGTCTGTGCTTGGGATCTCCACTCTTGAAGGGAAGTCCCACCATGGGTGCTGGGGCCCACTTCCTCTGGGCTCTTTTCTTCATGGAAGTCAGAGCAGGAGAGGACCCTTAGGATTGGACCTGGTCCACCTTCCCCCCAAGGAGCAGCTGAGGGGACTGAAGCTCAGAGAGAGCAAGTGACACACAGCAAGCAGAGACACCGCTTTCTGAAAGCCTAATTTCAGTCCAGGTTGCTGGCATTAGGGCTTGATTTCTGGTTTTCTGAAAGAAGACCCTCCCTTTCCCACTTCTTTGGAAACAAGGAGATGCATTACTTGTTTTTATCCCTTAACTGCCTAGCCTTCCCCAAGGGCAGACCTAATGTGGATCTGAAATTCATACAATTTGGGTAGCCTTCTTTAAGAATACACAATTACAAATATCAGCTCGGGCACAAAATGATTATTTATTTAGAGTTAGAAGAGGAACATGACACAAATCACTAGAGTCTTGGACACTCATGTCCTTTCTTTTTGAGATTTCTGTAGGCATCATATTAAAAACTGTAACATACAATTGTTCCCTGATCACAACCTGGCTCCCCCTCCCCACCTACAACAAGTAACCCAGTACTTGCTGGGGCTATTTGGACAAGGGGCCTGGAAGCTTCCCAGCAAACTTGGCCTTTGCTCTGCCTCCTTCTTGGGCTCCGGGCTGCTGAGGTCATTCCCTCCACCTACGAGCCCCCCACCCTGCGGAGCAAACTAATCCCCAAGGCCAAGGCTTGGTGACAATGGGGCAGTGAGTCACAAAACAAACACGCCCAGCTGTCTCAGATGGATTTTTAATTTTCTCTGCAAGACCTGTTTCATTCCCACAGGCTGTTTAAAGCACCCCACCTACCTACCCCCTCCCTCCCCAGGCTTGGCTGGAGCTGCATTCAATCAGTCAACAATTCACTAATTATTTCAACACATATGAAGTAACCACTGTGTGCCAGGCTTCATGCTAGGAGCTTGGGGAGATATAGGAATCCATAAGCTATAGCTGACTTTTAGGATTTTACGATCTGTTTAGGGAAGGCAGCCTCCTACACAAATAATAATAATGCCAATACTATTTACCGAATCCTGTGTGCCAGGCCTTTAGGTAAATTATGTTATTTAACCCTCACAAACAGCTCTATGAGGTCGGTACCTTAGTTAGGCTCAATTTATAGGTGAGGCAGCGGTGGCTCTGGGATGTTGCCTAAGGTCACATAGCCAGTAGATGGAAGGGCCAAAGTGGACCCACCCTCCCCTCCCCTACTTCAGGCTTGTTTTGCAATAAGGCCAGAGGAAGGTAGGAAGTGGGGGACAGAGAGGAAAATACACAGGTCTCACTTGGGACCTGGAAGGAGGGTGACTATGAGTGCTTCCCTCTGGCACTGAGCCAAGAGCTGCTCTCACGTGTCTCTTCTCTGCCCCCAGGTTGGCCAGTGATGGAGTAGGAGCTGTGAACATCTGTAAGTCCTTGGCAGTGGCCCAGAGGAAGCATGCCCTGTGTGGTCCAGCCTAGGCTAGGTCTATAGAATGGCAAGCAGATTGGCCCGAGGGTCCTGCCTCTTAGGCAACTCCTCCAAACCACCGCCTTCACCAGCTACTGGCAGGTCCCCTGGAGCTCACATCCAGCCAAGCTCAGTCTCCCAGGGAACCAGGTGCAAGAGGGCTGGTGGGGTGGGGCACACCTGTGGAGCAGCCCCTATTTGCTCCCAGAGGCTCCTTTTGGGTTGGCTGATGGAGAGAGGTGGGACAAGAGGCCGAGATAACAGGTAGGGGCAGCTGCAACAGGAAAATGGGGGTGGATGAGGGATGGGGTTCTTGGTGGTGGGTCTTCTAATAGCCCTCCTTCCTTTTCTCCCTTCTCTCCTAGCGGTGGTGAATTCTGTTGGCAGTGGTGGCAGTGGGCTGACCTTTGGGGGAACCATGGGCAGCAATGCCCTGAGCTTCTCGAGCAGTGGGAGGCCTAGGACCTTGAAGGCCTATTCCCTCAAGACTACCCACAGGAGTGCCCACAACTAAGCACTGGGTTGGGGGAGACCCCTTTCCCTCTTCCTTCCATAGTCACAGCAGGACTCCCATTCCTGCCTCCCATCCCTGATCCCAAGGCTGCAAAACTGTCTGCAAAAATGACATCAGAATCACTTCCAATAAAGCAGCGTCTTTCTGAGGCCTGGGTGAACATAGTGCCTAGTGTCCTGGTTCATTACGGGAAGGCAGGGGAATTAGAGGGGGCAGGGCTGTGCCTTGATGACTAGGAACCTCTTGTGCAGGAGGGAAAGCACATTGGTGACATGAGGGAGGAGGTGTTGCACTAAGGGACTGGCTCTTACCCAGTATGAGCTCTTGGCCTCCTCCCAGGACTGGGACCCATTCCAACTGCTCTCCGGAGAAAGTCCAGAAATGCCACAGGGAAATTCTGGTTCTGGCAGGAAGTGGGCACCAGAGTCCTCTCTTGCTAAGGGAGTGGGAGGACTGTCTGGACACAAGCCTCCCTCTCTGCCCTGTGCTGGCAGAGTACATTCCTTGGGTGGTAAGAAGACCACAAACATTCAGCTGCCTCAGGGCTGGGTTTCGGGTGGACAAGCCAACTCTCAGTTCAGCCACTTGTAGACCTTCCTGGTGCTGGGTTGGCCAGAGCTCAGGGACAGGACAGGCCCTTGGCCCCTGGATGGTTTGAGTGTTTGGGTCCTTGGGTGGGTGGGTAGGGGCTCTCTGTGCCTGGATGTTGTGGAGGTGATGCGGGGCAGCTCTGTGTATGTATATATGGGAGGAGGGGACAGTGATGGGGTCCCAGAGTCTAGATCCCTGACAGGGGGCTGTGTACCTGGGTTCTTGGGCAAATGGATAATCTGGATCCTAGATCCAGGGAGGGGAGCACCTTTGGGTTAAGTCTATGTGTGATGGGGGCATCCATTTGGGAGGGTCCCTGCCGTGGGGTCTGTGTGGGAGTATGTGGGGTGTTTTTGTGTCAGGGTCTGTGCTTGGGGATCTCCACTCTTGATGGGAAGGAAGTAACACATATAATGAGTACAAGAGGAGGAGGTTAAGAGATCTCTGGGTCTGGGACCCAGGGGTGGTGGTGGTGATGGTGGTGGTGGTGGTGGTGTGTGGGTTGTTCAGGAGAGTTGGTTTGGGTGGAGGGGTCTGCTCAGTATGTTTGAGAGCATGGTCAGGGAATTTCATGCGCTGAGTTTGGGGTGAAGATAGAGGAAGTGACCAGTGGTATCTAAGCAGTGGCAGGTGATGAGGTGCCCACAAGGGTGTCGGATCAAACCCCTTCCCCTCCTGGTTGCAGGCTGCTCAGCATTGCCCTTCTCACTTTCCTTCTAGCTCGTGTCCTCCTGGCTCTGTGTATCTGGGTTTAGGGCCTTGTGGCCAGTCAGAGTCCTAGCAGCAGCCCCTCACCCCGTACACTTCAGGATGCATATGTGCACCAAAGGGGCGGGCATCATGCAAGATCTATAGAATGGCAAGGTCACAGAGTTTTTGCCTCCTAGGGGTGAAACTGGGATAGAATGGAGCGTGTGTGGGACAAACCAGAGATTCCCAGAGTGCATTTCATGACCTGTGAGATTTATTGGAAGCAAGGAGACTAAGTAAAAACGAGGGAGAGGGACCGAGCGCATCCAAACCCCAGGGGTTCTGGGGCCAATCAGTCCCTCTGAACTCCCAGGAGCAGCCTATATCTGGATTGGCCCTTAGCCCAGGGCTGCAAGGAAACTTGTCATTTAGACACTTGGGTATGGAAGGGGAACTGCCTGGCATGTGGGAGAGTAGCCTTACCTTTCCTGGAACAAATGAGAGGAAGCTGTGGGTAGATAGATGCAAGAAGATGTGCTGAGCAGTTTGGGAGTCAGGCCTGTTGCTTCCTGAAGCTCTTCGGTCTCTGGGCCCCAGGACTTATTGTTGGAGGCAGGGACGTCGTACATTCATAAATCCCAGTATTTCCAAAGCCAGGAGCACTATGCAAACCTAACGGAACCACAGCTCTGTCCGCAAGGCGTACAGGGGGTGCATGTTCTGGTGCTCACCGCCAGGTTCCCACTGCAGGGGGCGCTGCAGGCGCTGCCCGTCACAGGCCGGGAGCCAGACATGCAGACAACCCTGCCTCGGGAGCTGCTGACACCTGAGAAAGGAGGACAGGGTTAATCCCTGTGCAGGGTCGTCCTGGCAGCCCAATGTACTAGCTACAGTCCTCTCATCTTGCCCAGAGCCCCTCCCCTCCATTTCTATTTCTCTGTGAACACCCTCATACATGGGCACTTCTTCCACAGTCTAATCTCAGTCACCTTTGATGAACTGTTAGCTCAGGCCCTTCTTACAGGCAGAAATAACTATTTAAATAATCAACTGACTACTCATTGCCCACATCCCCCCTCCTTTTAGGATTGGCAAGTTACAGCAGCCACCCACCCTCCTGTTTTTATAAATTAAGTTTTTATTGGAACACAGCCACACTCATTCGTTTAAGTATTATTGTGGCATGGCTTTTTCACACTAGGAAAAGGCAGAGTTGAGTAGTTGAGACTACATGAGACTGCATGGCCTGCAAACCTAAAATATTTACTATCTATCTGGTGTTTTAGGAAAAAGTTTGCTCACCCTTCCTTCAAACCAAATCCCTCATTTTAGAAAACAGAAGTATAGTTTACTTACAAACATTCACAGCACTGATGTCCTCACACAACCTTGTGGAAAGAACAAACAGACCATAGTTAATGAAGGGGAGCAAAGCTGATGAAATCTGAGGGTAACCTGTAAATCTCCTCCCCCAAAGAATTTTGAGGCAAATAATATGGAAATGTGCTCCTGGCTCCTCAAACTCTGAAGCACAGTTTGGGGGAGAGAGAAGGGACATGCTCCCCACAGGTATGGCCCCCACCTGTGCTCCTCGCCCTCCAGCAGGCGCCTGTAGGTGGCGATCTCGATGTCCAGCCCCAGCTTGGGGTTCATCACCTCCTGGTACTCCTTGAGCAGGCAGGCCATGTCCTGCTTGGCCTTCTGCAGGGCCTCCTCCAGCCCGGCCAGCTTGCACTTGGCGTCGCTGAGAGCTGTCTCACTCTGCTGCTCAGACTGGGTCACTGCAGCCTCCAGCTTGGAATTCTGGGAGACAGGGGAGAATTGTGTTTTTTTTTGTTGTTGTTATGTGCTGTCGAGTCAGACCCGACTCATAGCGACCCCTCCTTGGGTTTCCGAGGCAGTATCACTACGGAAGTAGATTGCTCCATCTTCCTTCCGAGGAGTGGCTGGTGGTTCAAACCTTAGGCACTATGCTACCAGAGCTCCCAGGGGGAGAATTAGGCTCCCTGTTTTGGATTCAGGGTCAGAGGCCAGGGATCCACTGACCATTGGCTGTCAGAGGAAGGAGGGCCTTTACCCATCTGTTAGACCAGGGGCTGAAAATTAGTGTCCCCAGGGAATGTTGGCACAATGTCTTCAATTTTGGGAAATTTAGCATAAAAATATAGTTTCCCAGTTTCTCTTGAAAAACCAGAGGCTCTGGCCACACTGGACCTGCATTTCAGCAGGGCCTGGCCCAGCTAGATCTGATCGGCTCTCCCTTCAGACAGCTATATGCTTTCCAGTTTGCTGCTATTCTCACACACCCCAGTGCCTTGGGTACAGCCTGCTTCATTCATTTATTAACCTGTTGACATCTGAGTGTGTGATCACTGATCTAGAACCACAGGTCAGAGAGTTAAATGTTTTGTCCCAAATCACACGGTGAGCTGGTGGCAGGGCCGAGGTTTCCAGGCCCTCCGACCAGTGCTGCTGCTTCCTCTGTCCCATTCTGCCCCTGGGACCAGGAAAGTCTTTACCTCCCCATTCCCCTCCATACTGCTCCCCCTCCTTTTGAAGGAAATGGAGCCCGTCTTCCAAGGAGGACACTTGCCTGATACTTGATGTTTATTCCTTTTTCCTGCACAGTGGCAAGGGGAATCCTAAATCTAACTTAACATAAACCATTCTGCTGCAGCTAACCCCATCCTCTCCCTACAAGGAGGGGCAGACCAGCAGTACCTGGCACTTGGCATTCTCCACCTCAGCCGTCAGCCTCTGGATCATGCGGTTCAGCTCACTGATCTCCTCCTTGGTGCGGCGCAGGGTGTCCCCGTGCCGGATCACCGTGGCCTTCATCTCCTCGCACTGTGGAAAGCAGAGATGCTCAGGAGGTGCAGGATGGGGCATCTCCCCCATTCAGGACACAATGAAAAATGGTGCAGGTTGTACGGTACTCAGCCAGCTCAAACACACACGGCAGCCCTGCCTGGGCCATTCCACCTGAGAGCTGCCTGCCTTTCTCTTACTATCCCTAGAAAATGGTCCTCTACAATTATCTCCGAAGAGCTCTAGTAGCATAGTGCCTAAGGCACTTGACTGCTAACCAGAAGGCTGGCAGTTCAAACCCACCAGCCACTCCTGGGAAGGAAGGTCGGGCAATCTACTTCCGTAGTGATGCTGCCTCGGAAACCCAAGGAGGGGTCGCTAGGAGTTGGGTCTGACTCAATGGCACATAACAACAACAACAACAACAACAATTATTTCCAGGCATCAGAATTCCCAGAAAAAAGGAAGACTTTTCTGATATATACCCTGTCCTCTCCCACTGCCATGTTTAGGAGGCAGGTGTCTGGATCACTCACCTTGCTGTGGTACCAGGACTCAGCCTCAGCACAGCTGCAGCTGGCGATATCATCGTACTGAGCCTTGATCTCAGCAACGATGCTGTCCATGTTCAGGTCCCGGCTGTTGTCCATCTGGACAATGATGGAGGTGTCTGAGATGTGGGAGTGGAGAACACGGACCTCCTATGGGGGTGGGGAAGTGGTGAGAGTGTCTTAGACCAGAGCTCCCTCTCGACAGCCCTCTCACAGCTCTTCCCTGTCCCCTTCCCCTGGTTCCTCAGAAACCCCACTTCCACATTCCAGTCTTGTCCCTCAACCCTGGGACCTCTCAATGCTCCTCAGACCTATAGTCCGAAGGATGAGAGGAGGTAGAGAGAGCTCATGTCCGACGCCCACAGCCTGATTTCATTCAAGGCTTCCTACCTTAATCTTTTGGATCAGGATCTGAGTTCCCTCTTTGTGATAATTGTCACCATAGTAGAGTAGCCATGAATATCAGCTTGTCTGGGGCACAGTAGATCAGACATCAAGATTCACTTATCCTTCACTTCTCCGTAGTAAACCTGCCTCCCCACCGTTATGCTTTCGATAAAGCCCCAGGCAAGGGTTTTCTAACTCTGCTCTGTTCCTGGACTGCCTGCCCCCACTCCCAGGGGTTCAGTAACCAAAATGGTTGCAAATCCTTTCAAGTGTCTAACATCCTCCTTGCTGCCCCACTGTCCCATGGCCCTGCACCTCCTCATACAGTCACCACAGGAAGTGATCTCCTGGGTCAGGGTGTCTACGTTGGCTTCCAGGTCAGACTTTTGGAGGTAGGCGCAGTCCACGTCCTAGAAGGGAGAAGGTGACATAGTGGTCTTGCTGAGGAGACAACACAGAGCTCTCATTTTCTCCCCACCAGGGTGGGGCACCTCATCAGACTGAGAAGACACTCTGAAACCCTCCTTAGATCCTCATCCCAGTGCCTGGCATCATGGGGTTGGCAAAGTTAGTGGGGTCAGGGGTGGGTGTGGGTGAAGGAAGGGGATTCCAAGGCTTCCAGGCACTTCCTCTGGTACCCATGGAGATGAGTCCTCCAGAATCCACATCTTATACCATCATCAAAACTTAGGAACTACTGTAATGTAAAACAGGTCAATTTAAATGATATCTCCTCTTCCCTGGTCCCTGGGCTTGGAATTGCATGGAGAAAATCCTGGATCTGTGGTCAGAAGTGGTCTCATGGCTTGACTGCCCCTTTCAAACTAGGTGTGACTCGTGACAAGACCCTTAACCTCTGTGCCTCAGTTTCCTCAGGATAACCATGCCTTCTTCATATCAAGTTGGTTATAAGGGTCTCATGAGAGGCTTGTAAAGAGTTAAGTCTAAGAGGTGAGGAATAACAGTTACTGTTCATGCCAGCGTTTCCCAACTGTCACTAGTCTGAGAATGTGGCCATCCCTGCCATTCATGGGCCCTTTCATCTGCAAATATTGATCGAGTGCCCACCCTATACCAGGCACAGGGCAGAAGGAGGTGGGAAGTAAGTGGCCAGATGTGAGTAAGCCAGAGGGAAGACCATTATTCTGCATGAAGCAGGCAGTGTTCACTGATGTCTGGGGCTACCCAGGGGGCATTGGAGCATTTGGACAACAGCATAGGGGAGAGAGGGGTTGTGTGATTCTGGGCGAGTCACTTAGTCTTTCTGAATCACAGGAGAGTGTGTCCTGCCTCTGCCCTCAGTTCCAAGTTGTGTGACGAGTGTTTTAGGGTCTATCACCTTCTTCAGGGCCACAAATTCATTTTCAGCAGTAGCCCTTAGTACCACTTCTTCTTCATACCTGAGGACAAAAGGAACAAGGCTCAGTGGCTAGAACCTTAAGAGGCTGGGATTTGGGGAGAAAAACAAAGAGACATAAGACAAAGACAAACAGATTCCAAGACTTAGGTCTTTTGGAGGAGGTCACAGAATGAAAAAGTGTTTGTCCAGAAAAGACTTGGCCATCCTTTTCCTCTGGCCACTCAAATCAACCCATGTCAACCAATGCTCTTCCTGATTCAGGGACTCTTATTCTTGATGTGAGTCAGGTGGTACTTTGCATGTTTATGGAGACCTCCTTTCTGCTTCTGGTCTGTAACTCTCTACGGAGCAGGAACCCTGTCCTGGCTCTGGTACTCTCACCTTTCCTCTCCTCCTTACTTTCTTCTCCCTACTCCAATATAGGAGCTCTGGTGACATAGTGCCTAAGGCATCTGACTGCTAACCAGAAGGCTGGTGGTTCAAACCCACCAGCCACTCCTCAAAAGGAAGATTAGGCAATCTACTTCTAGTGACGTTGCCTTGGAAACCCAAGGAGGGGCTGCTGTGAGTTGGCAGTGAGTTTTTTTTTTTGGTTTTACTCCAATACAGGGCCTAAGATAGCTGCTGGCACACGGTACATCCTCAATGAATGTTTGATGAATTAATGAAATAAACACATGTTGAAAGGCAGCTGGAGTAGCTCAGAATCTTTCCAATATTTAAACTCCAATTTCTCCATAAGTTTCCTTTTTCCTATTAGGAAGTTCTTCTTGTCGTCTAGTCCAAATCCATCCTGCTTTGACTCAATCCTCTTTCCTTTCCCCAAATCCTGCTCCTGGTCTCTGAAGACAGATATGAAAGAAGAACCTCTGTCTGCCTGCACTCACTTCTTCTTGTAGCCCTCCAGTACCTCCTCCACGTGGTTGAGCTCTGCGGCCAGCCGCCCACTGTCGGCTTCCACGCACTCAGCCTCCCGCCTCAGTGTCTCAATGTAGCCCTCGAACAGGGGCTCCAGGTTGCTCTCGCAGCACTTGCGGTTCTGGAAGAACTGCCACTTGGTCTCCAGCAGCTTGTTCTGCTGCTCCAGGAAGCGCACCTGGTGTGGAAGTGGGGAAAAGTTGGTGGGAGGAGCCAGGATCCCCAGCCCTCCTCAAAGAGCAGGCAGTTAAGACAGAACTAAGAGCAAGATGTGTAGAGGCAATGTGGGTGTCATGGCCCCTGTTGGGACTTCCTGGTCAGAGCACTGATTTCCTCATCCCATGACTGCTTGTACGGGTCTAAGAGAGGGTCTGTCAAGGTGTATCTGGGTGGGAATAATGAGTGAGAAACTGAAGGGCTAAAGGGCTGCAATGGGTTATAGTTAGGCTGGGGAAATAGGTAGGGGTTGGGGTAGTGACAATCAGGGAGGGCTTCCTGGAGGAAAGGAAGGTGGAGCATTGTTGAGAGGGTCACAGCAGGATGAAAGCTTTCCACTAAAAGCTTCCCAAAGGCAGGACCTTTGGCTTATTGATCTCTGTCTTCAGTGGCCAGCCCAGGGCTTGGTGAGTGGTTAACTGAATGGTTGGTTTCCTAGGTGGGGGAGAACAGAGCGTAGCTCTCATCAAGCGGGATGGGAGGAGGTGGGGTGTGGTTCTAGGTAGCCTAACCTCACATGCTTAATTCAGAGGTTGAGTGCTCATTTGTCTCTGGAGGCCAGGTAGGTAATGTGAATGGGTGAAGGTCATAGAAAATAGAGAGGGTGAGGACTCTGGGGTAGTGAGGCATGTAAGAACATTACCCATACTGGAAAGACAATAATGGTAACAATGCCCTATGTTGTCCAGAAAGGATGTAATGAGACTGGGCTCATTGGCCTCTGGTTTTCCACTTCTCATTCATTTTAGTTGGCATTGAGATGTCACCTTGCCTTATAGCCCTTGATTCTTTCGTCTAACTCTACGAGTGGAGCTGTCCTTCCAGAAATGGGCAACTGAGACTGCTGGCATTTTATGTGATCATTCTGGGCAGTCTTAGTTGGTAGGGCTCCAGCTGAGGTAGGGGTCTTGTGGCAGCCTCGGACCCCATCTCACCTTTCAAAGCTATTGCCAGCTCACACACTGAGCCACACAAACCCTTGTGGCAAACAAGCCCTGATGAAGAGAACACTGAGGCCATGGCCAGCACACACAGTGAAGGAGGAATTAGGCGTGGAGTCCATGCCCTCTGCCCGTGAGTCAGGCCTTTCCATACTCTACTCCCTGCTCATCTTTTCTGGATGTGAGCACACTCAGCTGCACAGTGCCTGCTGAGGTGGAGCAGCCCCTTCCGGAGGGGAGTGAGGTAGCTGGGCCCCAAACTGCACTCTCTGCCCTAAGGGGCCTGGAGAGCTGGGAAGGGCCAGAGTTTGGAGTCCCACTCAGCCCTCACTATCTGTGGGTCATTGCGCAGTCCCCTTTGCCCTCATCCAGCCTCATTCCTCTTCTCTGTACATGCAAAAGACTGCACTAGCACAGTGATCCCCAAACATTAAGCCTTCACAGGCTGACTTCAGGATTATTGCCATTCTCTTGTGCTATGTTACTCAATATTTATTTATGAATGGATTCACTTAACATTTACAGTCATGTAAAGGGAAAACTTTTATATTACCACCATAGATGTAAACCACAATCATTAGGCACACATAATGTTGTTGTTGTTATGTGCTGTCGAGTCAGACCCAACTCATAGCGACCCTCCTTGGGTTTCTGAGGTGGTATCATTACGGAAGTAGCTTGCCCAACCTTCCTTCTGAGGAGCAGCTGGTGGCTTTGAACCGCCAGCCTTCTGGCTAGCAGTCAAGTGCCTTAGGCACTGTGGTAGTCCAGTTTGTGTGTCAGCTTGGCTGGGCCTGGTTGAGTGGCTGGGCAGCTGGATGTAGTATTCCCCATGATGAGATTGATAATCAATTTCATGGTGGGATCTACCACAAGCAGCTGAGTAGCTGCCTGTGGGATGTGGTCTGCTTCCTGTATATAAGGAGAAGCCTTGGGAATGGTCTCTAGCCTATGGCACACTTGGACCCTGCATGTAGCCGTGTCATTGCTCAGCAGCCTGCTATGCTCTGCCGACCTTG